CATAGGAACCATAAGTTACCCTCTTAGATGAAACTTTCACTAGAACAGCCTAACCACCAGAAACATATTAACCAATAATTCATTAAGCCCATCTCAATTTATTCGGCATCTTAAGCAGAATAGTAACAGTAAGCGTGAAGGTTTAAACCACACAGGTCACAATGGTAAAGCAACACAGAAGTCCACCAACCTTACTTATTGAAGTAGACAATAAGTCTACTAGCTAGCTCAGAAGACACCAACAGTAATGAAGTGCTAGACAACCTCTCTGACAAAGAATTTAGAAGGGAGCTACTGAGGATGCTTAGGGAGCTAAAAGAAACAATGGAAATCAATGCCAATAAAAGACAAGAGGATTTGAAGGTAGAAATCAGGAAAATGCAAATAAAATTACAAATGGAAATGTCAGACCTGAAATCCCTGGTAGGCGAATTGAAAAACTCAGTAGAAGGCCTCAGCAGCAGAGTAATAGCTACGGAGGACAGAATCAGTGAGCTCGAAGATGAATCCAGAGACTCTCCAGAAAATAGCAGAAAATGGAAAAGAGACTCACAATTCGGGAACAAATGGCAAGAGAAGATAATGATGAAGCCAAGAGGAGTAACATAAGAATTATTGGAGTCCCAGAGGGACAGGAAGAAAATCCTGATGAAGAAGAAACCATCAAAGACATCATTGCTACGACATTCCCAGAGCTGAAGGAAACATGTGACCACATTCAGGAGGCCCAAAGGGTACCGGCTGGAACAAAACTGAATAAAATTACCCCAAGACATACCCTGATCAAATGACCAAAACCTTAGAGACAAAATTCTGAAAGCAGCAAGATCAAAGAAAGAAATTGTCTATAAATAAGCATCCTTAAGATTCACAGCTGATTTGTCTGATGGCCCGAAAACAGTGGCCCAAAAACAGTGGTGGGATATAGTGAAAAAACTCAATGAAATAAATGCCTCACCAAAATACTTTACCTAGAGAGACTCTCCTTGAGAACAGAAGGAACAACACACAGTTTCACAGACAAAAAACAGCTCATGAAAGTCATAAACTCAAAAACATCATTACAAGAGCAACTAAATGAGCTACTTTAAGACAAGACAGGACCCTCAAATAACCAAATTTCAACAGAAAAAATGGGACAAAAACCCATAATAATAATCTCTCCCAATGTCAATGGGCTAAACATATCAATTAAAAGACACAGAGGGTAAGGCGTTTGCCTTGCAAGCGGCCAACATGGCTGACCCAAGTTCGATTCCTCCGCCCCTCTCGGAGAGCCCGGCAAGCTACCGAGAGTATTCGATATGCCAGACACAGTAACAACAAAGTCTCCATTCAGGTAGGAAAGGAAGAAATCAAGCTCTCACTATTTGCAGATAATATGATACAATACTTAGAAAACCCTAAAACCTCTACCAAGAAACTCCTAGAAACAATAGACTTATATAGTAAAGTTGCAGGCTATAAAATTAATACCCAAAAGTCTATGGCTTTCCTATACACAAATAGTGAGAGAGAAGAAAATGACATGAAAAAAACAATTCCATTCACAATTGTGCCCCAGAAAATCAAGTACCTAAAATCAGCTTAACTAAGGAAGTAAAGGACACATAGAAAGAAAACTACAAAACGCTTCTTCAGGAAATAAAAGAGGACGTGAGAAAATGGAAAGATATCCCCTGCTCATAGATTGGGAGAATTAGCATTGCCAAAAAGGCAATACTTCCTAAAGCATTGTACAAATTCAATGTGATCCTATAATGGTACCCATGCCATTCTTCAAAGAAATGTAGCAAACACTTCTGAAATTCATATGGAACAATAAGCCCCCACAAATAGCTAAAGCAATTCTTGGAAAAAAGAAAGTGGGACGAATCAACCTCCCAAACTTCAAAGTCTAATACAAAGCAGTAATAATTAAAACAGCATGGTACTGGAACAAAGCAATGCTGCAGACCAATGGAACAGGGATAAATATACAGACATCTCCCCCCAAACATATGGTCATCTAATCTTTGACAAGGGAGCAAGAAATGTGTAGTGGAGCAAGGAAAGCCTCTAACAAATTGTGCTTGCAAAACTGGACGGCTCCATGGAAACAAAAAAATAGGCTCAGATCTCTGCTTAACACCATGCACCAAAGTAAAATGAAAATGGATTAGAGACCTCAACATGAGACTGGAATCCATAAGGTACATTGAAAACAAAGTTGGCAAAACCCTCCATGACATTGAAGCTAACGGTATCTTCAAAGATGTCATGCCACTGGCCAAGCAACTGAAAACAGAGATAGACAAATGGGACTATCTTAAACGAAGAACTTCTGCACCTCAAAAGAAACAATTACCAAAATACAAAGACAGTCTACAAAATGGGAAAGGATATTCACCCAATACACATCCGAAAGGGGTTGATATCAAGATATAAAAAGTTTTGGTTGAACTCCACAAGAAGAAAACATCCAACCGCATCAAAAAATGGGGTGACAAAATGAACAGAAACTTTCTCAAAGAAGAAATACAAATGGCAAAATGTCACATGAGAAAATGCTCTACATCATTAATCATCAGGGAGAACAAAACAACAATGAGATATCATCTCACATCACAGAGACTGGCCCACATCCACAAGAACAAAAGCAACCGGTGTTGGCACGGATGTGGCGAGAAAGGGACCCTCCTTCACTGCTGGTGGGAATGTGGACTGGTTCAGCCCTTTTGGAAAACAGTATGAACGATTCTCAAAAAATTAGAAATTGAACTCCCATTTGACCTAGCAATACCACTCCTGGGAATATATCCCAGAGAGGCAAAAAAATATAGTTGAAGTGACATCTGCACTTGTTTGTTCATTGCAGCACTGTTTACAATAGCCAGAATCTGGAAAAAAAAAACCTGAGTGCCTGAGAACAGATGACTGATTAAAGAAACCTTGGTAGATCTACACAATGGAGTACTATGTAGCTGTTAAAAAAGATGAAGTCATAAAATTTACATACAAGTGGTACTACATGGAAAGTATCACGCTAAGCGAAATAAATCAGAAAGAGAGGGACAGACATAGAAAGATTGCATTCATCTGGGGAACATAAAGTAACAAAATAGGAGATTAACACCGAAGAATAGCCAAGATGAGTACCAGGAGGTTCACTCCATGGCTTGGAGGCCGCACATGCTTGGGGAAAAGGCAGCTCAGATTGAGAAGGGAGCACTAAATAAAGGGTGTTGGGAGGATCCTCCCAGGATGGGAGATGCATGCTAAAAGTAGACTATAGACCGAATATGATTGTCACTCAATGCCTATTTTGCAAACCACAACAACCAAAAGGAGAGAGAGAACAAAAGGGAATGCCCTGCCACAGAGGCAGGGTGGGTTGGGGAGATGGCGGGTGGGAGGGATATGGGATCAATGGTGGTGGAAAATGGGCACTGGTGGAGGGATGGGCACTCGATCATTGTATAATTGAAACCCAAGCACAAAAATTTGTAAGTCTACAACTGTACCTCATGGTGTTTCACTAATAAAAATTAAAAATAAATAAAAGGTATAAATACTCTTAAAAATCAAAATATATCTAAATACAAAAAAGAGCAAAAAAAAAAAAACTCTTCCCAACAACATAGGAACATCCCCAGTTTCCATGGCCAGTTTTGAAAGATTCTGACCAGGTGATCTCTCAGAACATGTGGACAGAATGTGAGTAGTTGTTGGAGTTCTTACCTCACAGGTAGGGACAAGGCAAACTATTTTCAGTCTAAGAAGTGTTACTTCAGGATACTGGGGGGTTGTCTTTCAAGGACTTGATCCTTGTGGCCTATGCTTTTGTCTTCATTGCTTCCTTCTTTCCTCAGTCTCATTAACTCTTACTGTTTTCAATCCTTTTGATCTATTCCAGTCTCACTGGTGTAAGATGATATCTCATTGCTGTTTTGATTTGCTTTTGGCTGATAATAGTGATGGTGGCTGGAGTGATAGCACAGCAGGTAGGGCGTTTGCCTTGCACGCAGCCGACCAGGTTCGATTCCACCTCCCCTCTTGGAGAGCCTGGCTGGGTACCGAGAGTATTCTGCCCGTACGGCAAAGCCGAGCAAGCTAACCGTGATGTATTCAATATGCCAAAAACAGTAACAACAAGTCTATCAATGGAGACCTTACTGGTACCCGCTCGAACAAACTGATGAACAACAGGAAGACAATGCTTGCTTACAGTGTTACAGTACTACATATCTTCTGCAGTTGGAATCACTTCAGAGTTTTGTTTTTTCCATTTTGAAAATGTTTTGAAATGCTGGAAACCGTACTGCAATAAGCACAGGCTAAGTTTGCCACAAACCTTAACACCCCTGAATTCTGTTCCTCCAGTACATATATTTTTCTGTTTACCATTTTTAGTTTCCGTCCACCTCCACATCACACACAATATTTTTTTTTAATTTACACTGCACAGTTTTACATTTAATAAAGCAGTGCATACAAGTTTCTCTAACACAAAAAACTATAATTATGGCCTTGAACTTGCTTTTTAAACACTACAGAGATCTTTCACTAGGAAGCCAAGCATCTCATTGAGGGGAAAGTGGAATTTTTTTTCACAAGCTCATAAAACGTTCATTTCATCTAGGTTTAGTGGGTGGGGTAGAGAGGATGATGAGGAAGCCAAAAAAAGAAGAGTATTATCCTTCTATTTGTCAGAGTTAATGCCACTGCCTCAAATCAATACAACTATTTAGCACTCGGGAGTGCCCCCATTTACTTCTTTTTGAGCTTCTTCCTACTGTTCAGTAAAATTAGCAGCCTGATTTCAAATAATGTTTGGAGTTCTGGGATAGCGAGGGATAAATTACTGAAAACATTTTTATTTTGCAAGGACTGGAGTAGCCATAAAGAAGTTTCTAGAATGTCTGCTTCTCTTGCAAAACCATGTGAGAGTTTTCTATTGAAATTCCTGAAGGCATAAAGGCTGCTTATAAATTTGAATTCTCTGGCCTCTTCTGACTTACCTCCACAAGCTTATTGGCATGTTCACGAAAAACCTGCGCATATTCCTTCACTTCTTTCTCATTCCCACTCTTTGCAGCTTCAATGAGGACCAGCAAGGGGACATTGGTTTCCAAGAAAGAATCAGATATATGATCCATCACCGCTTTCCGGAGCTATAATAAAAATGAAAACAAAAGACAAAATTAAGACGTTAAAGAACTGTGTACTTATGAATCTATTACTCATTCGACAATATAGATTGTTTTACTTTCCAGAATAAAGAGTTTTTCTACTCTATACCCCGTTCTCATTATCCATATAAAAAATGGTTCATCCCTCTTCTTCATTTTCCCAGTGTTTATCACATCGATCATGATCACAATCACGACCATCCTGTTGTTCATCGATTGCCTCAAGCAGGCACCAGTAACGTCTCCTTTGTCCTAGCCCTGAGAATTTTTTAAAAGTGCCACATTCAAGGCTCTTTCAGGGTTATGAGAATGAGACCCATCATTTTTACTCGTATTTTGCATATTGGGTACGCCAAGGGGAAACATCAAAGGAAAGCAAACATAGATGACTGGTGGATAGTTGTGAATAAACTGCATTATTTGCTACCTTGAAAGTTGTACACATACACATTACATGATTAGACCTTCACTCCTCAGAGGTGTGGTCTTACCCTTCATTAACCCTAATGTCTATAGTCAGATGGTTTTAATTTTTATTCAAGAACTCTCATATGTTTGATTAAAAGAAAAAAATTAAGGTAAGAAGTGAGAAATAAAATTCAGATAAATTTTAGGTAATTTTTGACCCACAAAATATTACATTTAGCAGTTTCCTGCTTTTTTTAGCATATTGTTTGAACTTGATGTAAATACTGGAACATTGGAAAATTTCAAAAACATTTCTGCCCAAGTGCTATGACGACATGTTGCTATTCTTCAGAAACAGTACTTATAATTATTCTTTAAGGTAAGTAAGAATAAACAGATCCAAATTTCTCACAATGAATGATTATACACCATCCCTCATTGTTCAATTGGGAAGCACAACAGCTGCAGGAAGATTAAATGATAATATACCTGCAGAAGCGATTTAATGCCACTTTGTACATAGCTGTCAGGATAAATTGGGGGGCCCAAATAAAAATAAACACAAGAATATGAAAAAAATATATATGGTTTTCAAATAAGGTGATATACATTACATATAGATATTCATTTGTTAGTGCTTAGATGAAAGAGAAAGTTAAGTCTCAGTTACATTTTGTACTAATTAGCATAAAGTATCTATATGGGTATATATGACTTTAATTCTGAATTGTTTTATATTTTACCACATTAAATATGATAAAATTTATACAAAGCTAATATTAATTAGTTACTCATTGACAATGAGTATTAAGCTCCTATGTAAGAATAATCAGGGTTATTTGTGTTTCTTTTAATGTTTTTTTGTGACTTTTATTTATTTATTTATTTTGGTTTTTGGATCACACAAGGCAATGCTCAGGGGTTACTCCTGGCTCTGCACTCAGGAATTACTGCTGCCATTGCTCAGGGGACCATATGGGATGCTAGAGATCAAATCCAGATTAGATACATGCTAGACTAATGCCCTACATGCTATAATATCACTCCGGACCCCGTGACTTCATATTTTGTTGCTACATACAGTGTGCCAGATCCTCAGCTAAGTCTTATCCCCAAAAAACAGTAAGTGATGAGAGTTATTCATTTTATTTGTTTGCCCATTTTTTTTTGTTTCTGGTGGGCCATGCCCAGAGGTGTTCAGGAGCTATGCCAGGCTTTGTGATTGGGCATTGCTCCCAGCTAATCTAAGGGAACATGCTGGTATCAGGATGGAATTTAGATCTGCTGCATGCAAAGTTTGTGCTTCAGCCTGTTGAATTATCTCCCACATACAAGGGCAAATCTTATGATAGTTTTTTAAATGATAAATTCCTACTATAAAGTTAAGAAATTTGCCTACAATCATAAGATAGCAAGTTCTAAAGGGAACAATATAGTGAAGACCTAAAACTGACCTACCATGGGCTCTTCCTGGACAGAAGCCCATAGAGAGACCTACTGGAAGAATATCATTAAACTTGAACTTGCTAGTTACAATAGGTGTTTTTTAAAAAGAGCAGAGGTAGGAAGTTAGCACAGAGATGAGGGTTTTGTCATGCATGTGGCCGACTATAGTTCATTTATTCATTCTCTGGTACCCATATGGTCCTCCAAGCACTGCCAGGAGTAATTCTTGAGTGTCCAGCCAGAAACAAGCCATGAGCATTGATGGATGTGGCCCCCAAACCAACAAAAACTTAAAACTGAACAGTCAGGCTATCTTACCATTCAAACCACTGTATTCTTTCAAATGCACATAAAGAGATTAAAAAACTACTAAATTTCAAATAAAATACACTCATTAAAAAAACATTAGTAAACAAGCATTAGAGATTCCATCTTGCTTTTTAATATGCATACATTGCATATCCCCTCATTAGATGTATCTTAATTTTAGATACATTCCATGTATCCTGTGTTTAATGATAAACATATGCAGTTATGGATACACAGGGTAAAGCTCAACCACACTCTCAAGAAAAAAAAATCTTGAGCATTGAGACAGACATTGTTTTTCCATATTATCTCAAAGTTTTGCAAGGATCAATCTTCCCCAAGATTTGTTAGCTACTAATGCCAATCTAGCCTTAATCAAACAGAATTGCCTTCTTCCTGTGACCCATGACTATACACTTTCACTTAAATTACTTTCCTGGTAAGTCCCAGTAATTTGCTAAGACCAAATCGAGACTAAAACAGAATTACAGAGGGATAAGAACCCTACAACTGGGTTGACACGATAGTATGGTGGAAAGGACACTTACTTTGCATAAAGTCAACCCAAGTTTGATCCCTGACACCCCAGATGGTCCCCTGAGCTTGCCAAGAATGATTCCTGAGCATAGAGCAGGTCCTTAGCACAGCCAGGTTTGGCCCAAAACCAAACCAAAACAAAACAAAAGTCCACTATCTTCTCAAATTGAATAAAAATGTTTCCACAACAATGCTTGCCCTCAAGCAGTTGACATTCAAATGGTAAACAAATGAACTTGAGTTTGATAACATGAAATAAAAGAAGAACACACATTAGAAAAATCAAGACCTATAAAATGAGGTCATAAAATGTAAAGAGCTAAAAATAAAAATGAGTCATGAGAAATAAAAGAAGATGAAATAAATATAACCAACATTTGTTAGGGGAAATTAAAACAGAAAATAAAGAAAAACTTAGAAATAGCAATAAAAATACTTTTGAAAAACATAAAAAGTATGTTAGAGAAAATGACGTATAGAAAGTAACAAATTCAATATCAAAGTTCCCTGAGGAAGAAAATTAAAGAAAACAGAGCAGAGACTAAAATTTATAACCCACGAAAGCATTCTGAATACACATAAATGTGTGTATATGTATGATATATATGCATATGTATGCATATACTACACTACGATGGGCATATTGATGGTATGGTTCAGTACCTAAAAATACTGAATTACACTATCATCCAAGACAAGTAGATTCTAAAGAAAAATTGCGGGGAAGGAATCTTTATTCATTTAGACAAACAGAACAAGTGACTTACATAGAATTGTAAATTAGATGACTATTAGTTTTCAATACAAAACAAAACCAGAAAAAAATGAAGAACTGCATTTTCAATATTCAAGTAATGAGTATGTGAGTGAAAAAATTATAGTTTTAAGTTACACTGACTTTCAAGTATATAAAGCAAAGATAAATATTGATCAGTAAGTAAGAACTCGGAAAACAGTACTGCCTCTTAAAAAAAAAATGAGCTTTAGTACAACAAAAAAACATCAGCATAAGAATGGGCAGTAAACTTTAAATATATATTTAGCTATAGAACCATGACTGCTTAAATGATAGAATGCATTATAAAATGGCTGTGTGCTTTGAAAGATAGTACACCATAAAAATATGTAAAGTGGATGGGAGTAGACTACAAAAAATATTTAATTGTATGAAGTAATTTTTATTATAGTCCTAATGTGAATATGTAATTCTAACACAACTTTTAAAGGTAAAATAGAGCAAAGAGCTTAATTACGGCTGTTTATTCTTCATCGCCTATGTCCCTGCTAACTAAAAATTTTGGTGTGAAATAAAGAGGATATAATGGAAAGGAGGTCAAGGGTGGAAAACAAATACTCTAAACTTAGAATCCTGGATCTGAAGAAGAAAGATAAATATGACTACATGGTATATTAAACTGAACACATGCATACAGAGACACTTGTCTAATTCTGTTCAATGAAAAGACCTAAGAGCATCAATCAATTCAGCAGCAGTGTATATCTTTAAGTATAATAGTTCCACTAAAGCAAGTTAGAACTTCTGGAAGGAATGGTTGATTTCTGATACTTTGAAGCTGGAAATGTACACCTAAGCTTAAAGCCGGAAACATCTTGTGAGACCAAAGAGCAAGGAGCTATCAGAGACTGCAAAGGCCAGGGGGAAACAATTCAGGAGGTCTTGTCTGGCCAGAGATGAAACAATTTCAACTTAATAAAAGATAAAATTTCAGTGGGTTAAAATCCATCAAATATGTTTAAGTTCAGAAGTTAATAATGACTAGATGCAAAAGTTAACTGGTCAACTTCAAAGGATGGACAAGGAACCAATATGTTTACCTTGGAAGTATCTAGAATATATACTTTGGGGCTGGGCAACTCGTCCAGAGTGAGGGCACTTGTATTACATGTGCCTGCCTTGGGTTTGATCCTTAGCATCCTATGTTGTTTCCTGAGCACCACCATGAGTAATCCTTGAGCACTGTCAGGTGTGGTCAAAAACAAACAAATAAACCATAAACTATATAAACATTTCCTATCTGAGCTGGAGTTCCATACAAGAGGAAAACATCTGTTAAAAAGTTCTAGTTAATAAGTGATAAGCAAATAATGAGATATCACCTATTTGCAATATCTGGTAAAAGGTAAAGTTAAAGGCCCTCCCGTTGATCGTCGATTTTGCTCGAGCGGGCCCAGTAACGTCTCCATTGGAGACTTTGTTGTTACTGTGTCTGGCATATCGAATACTCTTGGTAGCTTGCCGGGCTCTCCGAAAAAAAAGGTAA